CTAAGTGTTCCATTAATTGTCTCAATAAACTTTACCTTTAATTTCATTGAAAATTGGTTACTTGATTGTTGTAATCAAACCATTGATTAATAATTTGCTATTTTATTTGCTTATCATTATTACTCATTTAGAATTGATTGAACGCATGTCCAAGATCCAACAATCGGTTAGTTTTGGATGACTTGTGATCTAGGACATGGATTTTTATAAGCATTGTTTTACTTCATTTGAAAACAATTTTTAAAATCAATCATTAATTTGAGATCTATTCACCCCCCTGAAGTTGTCGTCATCTAACAATAGAGAGATATAGTAAAAAGTTTTTGCAGTCATGGGTCTAGATAAAACAGTGATTTAGAGAGAGAGAGAGAGAGAGAGAGAGAGAGAGAGAGAGAGAGAGAGAGAGAGAGAGAGAGAGAGAGATTTAGAAGGGTGAAGCCTTCCTCACATTATAGGGTCTAGTCAAACTGCACCTCCTTCCTTAGGAGTCTGTAAAACATAAATGTGAGTTGGACCGACCTCGAAATAAATATGTTGAGAGGTAGTGAGCATCCTGTCCGATTTTATTTTTCTCTCCTTCGTGGTTGGGGTCTCTATTTTAATGACTGTGTCATATTTTTAAGGTTGCTCTCAGTACGTCTCTTGTTCAAGTATAATCCCAATAATTTTTAGCTTTGATGTCGAGGGTGCACTTTTTAGGGTGACCCTCATGTTATATTCATAGACATAGTTGAACACAACAAAAAGGTTGCCTTTGTGAAACTGGTCCTCACTGGACTTTACAATCATTTTATCTGTATAAATTTCTAGCATCTTGCCAATTTCACCCTCAAATACCATGTTCATCATCCTCTAGTGCATCACACCAACATATTTTTAACTAAAAGGGCATCATGTTGTATTTGTAATTGGAAAGATATGTCATGAAGGAAGACTTGTACGTGAACAACAACAACTTGTATCTAGTAGAGTTGTCTACCAACTTGTCAATGCTACGTAAAGAGTGTGAATCTTTGTGGCATGCCTTATTGATATTTGTGTAGTCAATACACATTCTCCATTTTCCCAATACCTTTTTGACTAGAACTATGTTAGACAATTTGGTATATTTGAAATTTGAAATGAAGTTTACTTGAAGAAGCCATTTGATAGTGTTCATGGTGGCTTCAACATTCTCTAGTGACTAATTCTTTATCTATGGGTTATGTATCAGATATAATATCAATATCCAATTTTTATAAGCAATATTGGGGCTGATGTCGAGCATATCGACATAGGAAACAACAAATATGTTTCCATTAACATTAAGACATTTTACGAGGTCTCTTTTCTAGGGTATCAAGAAGGTTAGATATGATCTTTAGCATTATAGCTGGATTTGTGTTGAGTTGGACAACTATGAAATCACCATTTAGGATCAGAGTTTGGATCTTCGTTCTAGCTTTGATAGGGATAGATCCCTAGTGGTCTATTCTAGGCATTATGGTATTTCGTCTTAAGGTGGAAGGTGAAAATATTAAAGGATGCGAAGAACGGTCTTTTCGGGATGCAATTGTAAACACTCTTGCATAGGACCATCAAGAACTGCACGTCTACCGTCTTGACATATCTTCCTTCTCAAAGGGTAACTATAAGCTTTATGCAACCCTAGGGTGGGTACAATAGCATTGAATGCCCATAAACGGGTGCCCATGAAGGGTGATAGCTTCATTTTCTTCAAGCCAATACTTCTTAAAAGTATGATGTACATAATGTTGTAGGAACTTCCCTGATTAATCATGACCCTTCTAACCTCAAAGTTGGCAATTCTAGCCGTAATTACCAATTAAAAAACCTAGGTGGGAACACCATCTATATTTTTGATGTCTTTAAACCCTAATATAAGCCTTATATGTTCATTAATATCTTTCCATTTTCTTTTTCCGTCTTCAATTCTCCTATTTGACCCTTCTAGGTTCCTTCGAGATATGATAACCTTCCCATGACGAAAGCAACGAGTGGGTGTTCTTCCTACTGAAGGTGAAGTGGAAAAGAAGTTAGATTGGGGATAGTTCATGTATAACCATGTTGTGGTGCTCTTAGTCCAGTCACAACCAATTTATAGATGTTGGTAACTCGTTCATATGCACCTATTATCCCAAACCTTACCTAGAGCCGCTAGAGATTTAAAGACATTTCAGGTCCTGGCAACAACATTCGCGGAAGTAAGTATGAGGGCATGACTTCAAAATTTAATGGATTTGAAACATCTATCTCAGGAAGATGATACAATTGTTTAGATGTTATGAGGGTCTATCAACATAGGCTGGTATGAAAGAGTTGGGATGAATAGAAAATCAAGGTTACCATCGTTGACATCTATAGGAGTTATCGGTGTCTAGATCGATTAAAAGAAACAATTGAAACGAAACAAAGGAAATCTCAGAAGTCTGATGTCGAGTTTCGTGAGAATCAACAGTCGACTCTCGCGAAAGGTGCCATTATTTCGAAATGGAAAAAAATTGATAGTATGTTGACAAAGTCCATTGTGGAAGGTCTTTGACACAGTGGTGGATGTCTCTAGAAGATGGAAAAGGGGTGTACCTAGAATGTTAGCACTCCAACACTGAAGTCAGTGAAGTTGGAGAGGTGTCATTTGCAAGTTTGTAATGAGTTATGAACGATGAATAGAATTGTCCCATATGAACATGTCGCTCTATGTGGGAATTGTTGTATGAATTTCAACAATTGAAATGAGTGTAGTGCCCGACTTTAGTGTCTGACCTCCTAGTGAGAGTACATATGTTCGCCAATCTGAGTGGACGGAACTTTAGATTTATCTTTTGTATTAGATCAGTCTTATTACGTCATTTAACCAGTTTTGGCCAGTCTTATAATTAAATAATAAAGTACTAGTCATTGCTATATAATCGAATCGAGCTAAAAACATATGACATAATATTTTGTTTATTTGGTTGACAAGGCATATAGTGGTTCTTAGAAATTATAGACTTTCTTAAAGAATTGATAGACCCACAAAAATGGACATGATTTTTCAACATCTAACCGTGCAAGTCTTAGTAATATACATAGATTATTCATTTTCATGTGTTTCCCTGTTTGATCAAGTACAATTGTGTCCGCTTTGGTGACTAAGATTTCTGTTTGTATATTCATTTACAAGACTTCTGAAAATGTTTAGAGTATTGTTGGAGTGTAACCAATGATAGTGGATAAAGAAGATGGTGAAATAGCAATCTTCTATTTCAATATGGCTACAAAGACACTCCAATTATGTAGACCTTTGAGATTAAGACACCAATCATGAGTGAACATGAAGTTTCAAGTCCAGCTCATTTTTCTCAAATTTGATTAATTGATTGATTATGTTTCTTCAATGTGCATATTTGACCAATTATAGGATGATCAAATATTTATATATATGGACAAAAGAAAGGCAGAAGTAGTTAATGTTTACATGATTTAAAATATGTAAAAGTTAATTCATATCTAACACGTTATTAAAACTATATTTTTATATTTTATATTATTTTAATAGAAAACTATGAAAACAAATAAATTAAGAGATGTTTAGTTTCTGAAAATGTTTTTTTATTTTATTTTACTTTTAATTATAAAATTGTCACTTTATTTCATACTTTTTCTTGTTTCAAAAGGTTTATACACAAAACACGGTAAAAAGATACTTTTCACACATTGTTGAAAATAAAAAGCAAAGACAATAAAATGACATTACTACTTATAAATAGATATTGATTATATAATTCGTCATAATATATCTAATTAAATGTTGACAAAAATCACAATTTTGATCGGACAGATATAAATTTTACTTTTTCTTCTATATTCAAATTTGGATATAAGAGTAGGGCGAAATCTTAATTTTCGTGTTATATTCTTCTTAATTCAACCCAAAAAAAAATGACACATAGATAATGTTAATCTTTACTTTATAGATATAAGATTGAATTAATCTCAATATAAATTTTTAATATTTAATCATAATCTATCCAAAATTTTGTTCAACAGTCTCTTATCGGTCTAAAATATAAACTTTTTTTACTTTCTAAATTTATGTCTCTAACCTAAATATCATCTCTCATATAAATAATTTATTTTAATCGTTCATATATCTTTTTATTAAACTAAAATTCACAAAATCATTAAATAGTAAAGTAGCCTAATCCTTTCTCCCTAATAATGCCTTCAAGAATCCTTGAATATGGAGGCAAATTGATTGCTTTAGTTACAATAATTTCATTGGGGACATAACAAAAAAAATTAAATAGTAAATTTTTTTAAAAGGGGAGATAAACCATGAAAAAAAAGTCAAAACCCACTTAAATATATGTTTGGATTGATTTTGAAAGATCGAGAATTAATTTTAGAGGTGTTAAATTGATTTTGAATGATTTTAAGGTGTTTAGTTTCTTAAAACTTGAATTGATAATTCTATTTGAAACTAAAATTTTTAATTTTTTTGTTCAAAATTAATTCTGAGTGATTTTCATACTGAAATTTATTATTCAATTCACTGTTATATAAATGTATTTAAATATAAATTAAACTCGTTTATATTAAAATTAATTCTACTAAACTCAATTATGTTAGAATTAGTTTTATGTACAGATAATTCAATCACACCCTAAATTTCATTAGATTGATTAATGGAATGAACAAAGATTTTGTATACTATATGCATTCAACACTTTTTCTAGACAAACACCTCTTCTTTTCTTCATTTACTGATTAAGGACAATCTTGTTTGATTAAATGCCTAAACAAATTTGACAACTTGTCAATCATTCTAGTACCTGGTCCCACCAATACATATATATAGAGTGTAACACTGGATTTTATATACTACTATGGCAAGTGGGACCCATCAACTTTCTTTATCATCCTATTATAAGGTAATTAAGGTCTCTATTTATATATATGAAGTTCTCAAAAACTCATATATGCTAAATTGTCTCAACTCGAGAGGGTGTTTTGGAGAGATGGGCCATCGTTGTTGCAGCAAACAAAAGATCAAAAGAGGATTATGGTCTCCTGAAGAAGATGATAAGCTTGTTACATATATCACCACTCATGGACATAAAAGTTGGAGTTCTGTCCCAAAGTTTGCAGGCACTATTTCCCTCCTTCTATAGTACTTGTATATTGTTGTCTTCATTTTTAATAGTGGATGAAAAGGTTGAGTATGACCGTGTGGCTCGCAGCGTTATGACTCTTGATATTATCAAGAAATATCAAGAATCACAGCGCGACGACCTTTTAAGATTTTGTGTTTGATTGTGTAGGCCTACAGAGATGTGGAAAGAGTTGCAGATTAAGATGGACAAACTATTTGAGACCCGATCTCAAAAGAGGTTCCTTCACCGCCGAGGAAGAACATATCATAATTGACATACATAGAATTCTTGGAAACAGGTAATGAGAAATAATAATTACAATTATAAGTATAGACTCTCTACAAGAATTGTCTTTGAAATCATGCAAAGTAGGTTATGGCATAAAATCTAAAAGAATTTATGACTAAAGTGTGATTAAATAAAACTTTATAAAATATTTATAACAATTAAATTGAGTGTTTATTTATTTGTCATGATTAAATTACAATTAATCTGCATAAAGTTTTGCAAAAACTTAAGACGACCATGTCATTGCAACTTTTTATACAAGGTTGTTAGAGTTCATCTTCATTAATGCATGCATTATTTGTGACTGTGATGCAGATGGGCCCAAATAGCAAAGCATCTTCCTGGTAGAACTGACAATGAAGTGAAGAATTTTTGGAACTCATGCATTAAAAAGAAGCTGATTTCTCAAGGCTTAGATCCACAAACTCACAATCTACTTTCTTCACATAAAAGAAACAACTCATCATATCAAAACTCCAATTCCATTTTCATTCTTAGTTCACAAATGCAACCAAATGCTAATTATCTCGTCGAAACAACAAATCAAACTTTTTCACCACCAAATATTATTCAAACTCCTTCTACAATTGTTTCCACTAACCAATATCAAACATCTTTCAATGTAATTTCAAATCAAATATGTGTTCCCGAGCAAGAACAAACTCAAATATTATCCGAAAACATATCGAACATTTGTTCGTCATCCGGCCTAGTTACTACTGTTGTTGAGATGTCTAAGAATGAGAATAGCATTTGGGGTTCAAGAGATGAAGAAGGAACACAAGCTCAAGTGATGAAAGAGAAGGAGAAGATGTGTGAGAAGGGAATGGATTTTAGTGAAATTAATGAGAAAGGAGATATTGAAATGAATGGTTGTTTTGAGAATTCTAAGTTTGATTTTGGGTTGTTGGAGAGTGTACTTAACTCTGAATTTATATCTCATGATCTAGATTATATGGATGAACTTGCATGGAATTTTTAGTCAATGCTCTAACAATTTTGATATCCATCGTTTATGTATATATTATTAGTGAGTTTCCTACATATAATAAGACGTGGCGGTGCATATTAAAGCTACTTTTTTCTTCTTCTTATGGATTAAAACTACATTTACAAATCATAAAAGTTATATCTTCTGCAAGGGAATCTAGGAAATATAGTTTTTTTTTTATATATATCGAAATTCTAGTACTTGTAAAACAGATTTCAGATACCATGTTAGGACACTGAGATGTTGAATGCAAAATTAGGACATACACAAATAATAATAACAATGTTAAAGTACATTGTAGGAAGTAATTCAAGGTAATTGTTAATCCAGTTGGATACAACTTCATGTATATTAGAGGGTATCACAGTTAAGATGGAAATTCACTATAATAATATTAGTTTGAAGTCTTATGTAAGCAACACCCAGTTTACAGCCTTCGCACCTAACCACTATCCGTGACATTTCAATCTAAGACTCTCCTAGTATTGTAATCGGTTTGAAAATGATAGTCGTCACCCTTAATTTTTATCTTTAAAAAGAGAATATAAAGGATAACACTAATTTAGTCAGAGATTCTAAGATGTTTGACTCGTTCTTAGACGAAGAGAAGGTGTTAGGCACCCCTCGTCTACCTTGTTCACAAGGATACTAGGGTTTAGAATTACAATTTTTTAGGAAATAAAATTTTCATTTTTATTAAGGGAACACGCTACAATTTTAGTCGTATACCTACATATCCTCTTATGAGGAATCAGAGTCTCAATTCATAGTTCGTAGTTGGTTGGTGTTTTTTATGGATTACGAAGATATTTTAAATTCTTCTTGAACCAAATTTAGATGTGTGAATAACAGAGTTGTTAGACGAAGTTCGCAGTTGATTAAAAATATTTTTATAATATTTTTTAAAAATAATCTTGAATTTTGAATTATGTTAGTAAAAGAGCCTTTAGTATTTGATTGGTTAGATATTATTAAAGTATATTAAGAAATATAAGAAAAATATTTTTAATGCATGATAAAAAATAACTTATATGCAATTTAAAATTAATAAAATGAGTTAGTAAAAAAACTTGAATTTATAATAATAACAAAATAATTTTAGAATTTATATAAATATATTAAATATAAAATAAAATTTAATTATAATATAAATAATAAAAAATAGAATATAAAGAAAATAAAATTTCAATTAAAAAGGTTAGAGGGTGTATTTTCTGTTTGGTTAGTAAAACCAAGGGGTATAGAAAGTATGACCTTGAATTCAGATATTGAATTCATGCTCAAACGCGGGAGGGGGCGTATTATTAAACAGGGAAGCTAAACTTGAGGGTACATGAAGCAATGGCTCAAGTTAAGATATTAAATTGGGCCCAATAGTGCTAGGGGTACGGGTTATTAAAAACGAAGTAAAAAAATAGTGTAAATATCAAGGGCTTATGCATAACACATTGTTGGATCCGTTGGGCAAGGTGCGGGAGAGAACACATAATTGTGATGGGTGTATGTTTCTGGGACGTTTGATGTTGATCCAAGGGTTGTGATGGGAAGTGCATGGTAAAGACGTTGGGAACACAAACATCAGATCAAGGGGGTTTATAAAAGTTCAGGCCCAATGTTGGGCCTAATTTTCTCCTCTCATCTCTCTCTACTCCCAAACAAACAACCTTTTATATTTCTAGAGAGAGAGGCTCTGACCTCTCTCTAGAAATCAACCATGCCAGAAATTGCCCCGCCTAGAGCGCACAATCCAGAAATCGCTCTCGTCGGCAACTGCATTTAGGCACCACTGCCTGCATTCAAACCTTCATCCCCAAACCTAGAAACCTAACAACTTCAACCCCAAACCCTTCAAACACTAACCTAACCCTATGGTTCTGGATGAACCCTAACCCAAACAGAACCCGAAAATTGAAACACGATGATGTTAGAGCATAGTTTGATTCTACAACCCTTAATTGGGGTTTTGATGATAACAAACACAAAGAACAAATATGCACTCTAAATTTGTATTGTATTTTATACAAAAGTTCTGACTGAAATGACATAAAAAGTTAAGCCACATAAGCTTTCAAGTTGAGCAAATCAGAATATTCGGAAGAATGATGATCAGAATTTGTGCTAAAGTAAAAGATACTTTGATTCTGAATAGAAGTCTAACACGTCAACAAATCCTCATATCTCCGAGTCATCAAAGTTCTGAAGTAAAGCATCATGCAAGATTCCCAAGTTCTGAAGCGTTACGTTTCAATTAAAACAGTATAATATGCAACGGCTTCATTCAGACAAGAATCTTCTCAGTATAGAAAGTGCATTGAGTGTCCATTATCACGTTTTATTTTGGATAGATTTCCACGCCTATATAAACAAGCTCAAAGGATAAATCTTTTACGATTTTCACGAACGACTGCTCATACATATCAAAAAGCTGCAAATATTCATATTCTTTCAAATACTCAAATTGTGTAATACATCACAGTAGTGATACAATTTTTGTAACGAAAAACATATAGTACACAGTTAATTGTTCTTTGATTAAGTTATTGTTCCTTGAGATAAACCGGGTTGTGGTCATACTCAAGAAGACTTTGGCAGTTGTCAAAGTAGTTTTGTAATCTGTTTGATTAGTGGATTAAGTCCTCGTTAGAGAGAGGCGAAATCACCTTGGCGGGTGGACTTGAGTAGTTTGAGATCAAGCGAACCAGGATAAAAATCTTGAGTCTATTGCATTTGTTTTTTTAAGTTTCAATTCAACCCCCCCCCCCCCCCCCCCCCCTCCTTCTTTTGTTTTTAACTTCTTCAATTGGAATCAGAGCACCTGGTTCTAAGTTCATACACTTAACTGTGTCAGTACAAGATCGAAGCTTTAGAAAAACACTATGGTGGGAACAAGCCAAAACATCAGCGATGACTATCATGATGACAAGGACAGAATCAGCGGAAAACTTCTAGTCTTTGATGGAGAAAATTTTGACTACTGGAAAGACATAATTAGGAGCTTCTTTCTGGCTCATGATGCTGATCTATGGAACATGGTAATTGATGGATACACACATCCAGTGGATGAAAGTGGTCAGAAGATAGATAGAAAAAGAATGTCTGACCAGTAAAAGCGTGATTTCAGAAACCATCATAAAGCCAGAACAATACTTCTCAGTGCCATCTCATACTCAGAATATGAGAAGATCTCAAACAGAGAGACAACCAAAAACATGTTTGACTCTCTGAGAATGACGCATGAAGGCAACATACAAGTTAAAGAAACCAAGGCCCTTGCGCTCATTCAGAAATACGAAGCTTTCAAGATGGAAGACAGTGAATCCATAGAAGCGATGTTCTCAAGATTCCAGATTCTTGTTGCTGGGCTGAGAGTTCTTGACAAAGGGTATTCTATTGCTGATCACGTAAAGAAGATCATCAAAAGTCTACCAAAGCAATGTAGGCCAATGGTCACTGCGCTTAAGCTGGCTAAAGATCTCAACAAGATATCTCTGGAGGAACTTGTTAGCTCCCTCAGAATCCATGAGATAGAGCTAGAAGATGACGAGCCTCAGAAGCAAGGTAAGCCTTTAGCATTAAAATCTAACAAAAAACTTGATTCTAAGGTTTTGCAGACTATGGAAGAAATCTCTGATGCATCCTCATCAGAAGAAGACGATCTGTCTCTTTCCTCCAGAAGGGTAAATCAGCTGTGGAAGCAGAGGCAAAGAAAATTCAAGAATTCCAGAAGGTCAGGGAATCAAAATGAATCTTCCTCCGGATACAGAAAGTATGAGTCCTCCTCTGGACACAGAAGATATGAAGCTTCATCTGGTCACAGGAAGTCAAACAATAGAGACATCATCTGTTATGAGTGCAATGAACATGGGCACTACAAAAGTGATTGTCCAAGGCTTCAGAAGGAGAAGCCCAAAAATAAGTTCTTCAAGGAGAAGAAGAAAAGTCTCATGGCAACATGGTATAACTCAGATACTTCTAACGCAGACTCATAATCAGATGATGAAAGAGCCAACATTGCTCTTATGGCTAATGTGACAAAAGACAGCGAAGCATCTCAGTCAGACTCAGAATCAAACACAGAAGAGGTATTTCCTGATTTTACTGTTAATTTCACTAAAGCTGAACTAGAAGAAACCTGAATGAGCTGGAAAGATATCAGCACATCAGAGTCAAATTCAAGAACCTAAAAAGGGATCTTGTCTGACTCTGGAGAAATTGTGAGTCTAAGATTAGAAAATCCTGAGCTAAAAGAAAAGATTTCAAAACTAGAAATTGATTTACAAAACTCTCAGAAAGTAATAATTTCAGAGGCTCCCAGTAGTGCTGATAAAATCATAAAAGAATATGATCACAACTTTCAGAAGTTTCTGGATAAAAACATAGATAGAAGCAAGATGGCTTCAATGATCTATGGAGTTAGCAGGAATGGAAGAAAAGGAATAGGATACCAAGGTAAGGTATCTCCACCTAAGAAAGTCATGTACCTAGTAATAAAACGCTCACCACTAAAATCACACTTCACATATGGGCACACACATGACCTGAAATACACTAGCAATGATTATTCTACCAAACCAAAACTCAAACAGAATTTTGGTAAAACTAACAAACTAGGACCCAAAAAGATATGGGTACCTAAGGACAAAATTATATATGTAGCAGATATCTTTAGCAGCAAGGTTAAAAAGCCAGTCGTGGTACCTTGACTCTAGATGCTCTCGATACATGACGGGAAGAAAGCATATGTTCCAAAGCCTGTAACTTAAACCTGGAGGCTACGTGGGCTTTGGAGGCAACCAAAGAGGGAAGATCATTGACTCTGGAAAAGTAGGTAATGGTAATCTTCCTTCTATTAATAATGTGCTTTTAGTTGATAGATTGATGCATAATCTGTTATCCATAAGTCAATTAAGTGATAACGGTTATGATATAATCTTTAATCAAAATTCATGCAAAGTTGTTAGTGAGAAAGATGGAACTATCCTATTTAATGG